TATTGGATCTTTTGATAAGAGGCTATGTGATTATTTTTTTTTTAAATAATGATTATGGAGTTTGAGATGAGTATGATGAGAGAGTTGTCCTACTTTTTAGGATTTAGAATAAGACAATGGGATGATAAAACCTTTTTGAATGAATCAAAGTACATAAAGGACACCTTGAAGAAATATGGAATTGATAAAGCCAAGCTAATTAATATTCCCATTACCTCTTGTGTTCAGTTGGATAAGGACCCAAATGGAAAGTCTGTTGATAAAAAGAAGTACACATTGATGATTGGATCTCTACTTTACCTGACTGCTAGCTGACCTGATATAATGTTTAGTGTTTATCTCTGTGCTAGATTTCAAGCTGATCCTAAGGAATCCCACCTAACTGCAGTTAAGAGAATTCTTAGATACCTTTTAGGGACCCAAAACTTAAGAATCTGGTACCCTAGGCAAAAAACTTCTTTTGAGATCATTGGATATTCTGATTCTAATTTTGTAGGATGTAGGGTGGATAAAAAGAGCACTTTTGGGACTTGCCAATTCATAAGATAATATTTAGTCTCCTAGTCCAGTAGAAAACAAAAGTCTGTTGCACTTTCCACTACTGAAGCTTAGTACATTACCTTAGGGAGTTGTGTGGCCCAAATCCTTTGATTGAAGCAGCAAATTCTAGATTTAGGATTACCTGTAGGTATAATCTCAATCCTTTGTGACAACACTAGTGCCATCTATATTTCTAAGAATCATATACAACACTCAAGGACTAAACACATTGATATAAGACATCACTTTATTAAAGACTATGTGACCAAGGGAGGCATTGAGTTACACCATGTGGCAACTAAGAATCAACTGGATGACATATTTACTAAACCACTAGCCTTCGACACTTTCAGCTCTTTAAGAACTAGATTGGGTGTGATTGACATAAATGCATGAACTTGATTCCTACTGATTTCTGATATGTTATATGTTGTTTATTTTTTACTTATATTATTTTATTTATGAATTTTTTTCTTTATTTATTTTTGTTATTGTTTTACTATTTTTATTTTCCTCCTTTTTGTGATGTCAAAAGGGGGAGTAATTAGTTGTACTATTTGCTATGTAGTTTGATTCTATTATTGGGCTGTTAAACTGTGTTTATTTTTGTCTCACTATTTTTTAAAAACTATTTTAAATTGCTTTAATTATGTTTATATTTGCCATCATAAAAAATGTCGAGATTGTTGCATATCTGATTTCAAAAATAGAACTTTGATGATAGAAATTACTTCAATTTTTTTATGACTGCCTTGCCGACTAACATTTCAGGTTCAAAAGTTTAAAATTACAAGTTAAACCAGCTCAAGATTGGGTAGACTAGGTCATAATCAGTTTGTAAAATTCTTTTTCCTTTCTTGAGTCTATTATAAATAATGTGGTTCTTGATGCTAAGTAAGCTTGCACACACACACACTTGGGGGAATTTTTCTGTCTAATTTAGAGTTATCTATTTTGAGGACATCATCCAGGATAATCCAAATATCGTCATGGACAATCAATTAAAAATAAAATCCATAATTAGGGCATCCTTGTTAAGGTAGACGTTATTAAGCTCATCGTCCTAGATGATATTTGTATCCTCCGGGATGATATGCTCAAATCAGAAAGAATTAGTCGCTAGATCTTTTTAGGTATTATTTATTTTTGGACATTGTCCAAAATATTGTCCTGGACGATGCACACAATTATCCCTAAATTAATTTAGTAATTAAGGGAAACAATTAAGACTTAATTGATACGATCAAATCATCCTAGACGATTGCAGGATTGTCCGGGATGATTAGTTCAAAATACCTTAGTTGCTCCTAGATGATCAACATCTGATAGCTCTTACTTAGGGCGATGCTTTGGATGATTTTCACGGATTTGAACTAATCGTCCAAGATGATCGTGAGATTGGCTTAGACGATCAAGCTAATTTTTTATCATCCAGACATCCATTCAGTGCAATTGACTTGATGATATTCACCGATTTGTACTAATCGTACAAGATAATTTTATATCGTCCTGGATTTATAAACAAAATTCATCCTTGCTGATTAAGCTTAAATTCATCTGATCATCCCAGAATCATTCTGAACGATAGAGTCGGTTCCTTGCAATTAATGAGTTATTCCAAAGCTCTTCTATTTAAGAGCACTTAATCTATCCTTTAGAACATCTTTTGCTACTGTCTTGACCTGAGAGAGCCTGGAGGAGAGGGAGAGAGAGGATCTTGTGAGGGGAGTTTGTGAGAGGGTTTCATAAAGGTTGATCCAAGCTTTGATCCACATGTTTTTCTTTCATCATAGTCCCTTATCCTTGGAGGGTTGAGAGAGGTTCACTTCAATAATTGATCAAGGTTCCCTGCCTGCTTTAGGAGGAAGCAAAAAGAGTTGGGTTCTCTGCCTCACTGGTGTCGGTGGAAAGGTGTTTTGTAAATGCTTCTCCCCCTTGCTATGGGAGCAAAAGGAGATTTACTAAGTTTTAGTGCAATACTCGGAGGGCACCTCCTGGGAGTGGACATAGGTCGTGTTGATCGAACCACTATAAATCTTTATGTTCTTTACTATTGATTCTTCAATATTTAATTTTTGCACTTTTATTATCGTTGTGGTGAATTTTTGTTTGAGTTTTGTGTTTTAATTATTTGAAAGATTTTTAAAATATCAATTCACCCCCCTCTTGGTTATCCTCGGGCTAATTCATAAGGGCTTAACATCCCTAACAAACTTTCAACATAGTGATCTCCTTGGGCTAGGAGGATTTTGGTGGAGGTGTGGTCACTCATTTGAATTTCTACACTAAAGAGGGGTACTGATTTTGTAGGGGATACCACTGACCAAAAATAATGAAAAGTAGGTGGAAAGGTGTTTTGTAAATGCTTCTCCCCCTTGCTATGGGAGCAAAAGGAGATTTACTAAGTTTTAGTGCAATACTCGGAGGGAAGGCCAAAAATTTTAACTTCTACACAAGAGAGGGACATTGAATTTGAGTAAAGGATATCACCTACAAAAATAATGGAAAACCTCAACTGTAAGAAAGTTAGAGGGAGAAAGAAGAGGAGAAGGTGAAAAGTTTTTATTGCCATAATGGGGTTATCTATAGGATAAAATGAGAGGGGGGTGTGTGGGGGGGGGGGGGGGGGTGAATTTGCCCCCAAATTATATTTTTAGATTTTTTTTTTTTAAATTTTAGTATTTTTTTAGATTTTTTTGGGCATAAAATTAACATTTTCAAAATTATTCAAAAAAAAAAAAAAAATCAGAAAAAAATTATAAGATGGGAAGCTGTAGCTGGCGCCCCCTTAATTTTTTTTTTCTTAACAGTTAACTGAAGTTGGCGGTTGTCAGTTGCTCAGATCCAAACTACGTGCCCTTTCCATACTGGCGGCGCAAAGCCGCCTTAGGTGGTAGTGGCCGACATCCAGTTGGTTTGGCCGCCAAATCGAGTCTGGGCCTGAATTGTTTTGCCCGGACAGTCCAAATAAGACTTCTGTAGGGTTACCGAAATCATTTTTTGACGTTCCAATTCAAATTTTGACACTTGTGAAGCTCAATAAAACTTTAATAATCAATTTTTGTCCATTTGGAATGTTTTGGAAATCAACTTTCTAGCATTGTTTTGCAATTCGATTAATTCAAAATACTGTGATATGTATTTTCTGTCTTCTAGAGCTTCAATGGCTGAAAATATAGTGGCAACTAATATATCATTAAAAAAAATTATTGATTAGGTACAGTCTCGAAATAAAATTAAGTTGAAAATTTCATAAATTAAATTCGAGAGCATCTAAACTCTGATTTCAGCAAACTTGAAATTGAATTGAACGTCTCGGAAATACGAACACAACAACATCCAATTTGACTCAATCCGAGCCCAAATGAGTCCAAATCAAATACCCTAAGCACATTTGAAAGATTCAAACCATAGTTTGGATTATCAAAAGGTTTTCAAACATTACATGCTTATGTTCGAATTGTGTGGCTCGACAAGACGAATCCAATGAGCTGAAGATCGTTAAATTCTTATATCATTAACATATTAAAATACCAAATAAACAGTCCACGATCAAGGGAATCAACATCGACCATCCATTCAAACCACTCCCAATTTACCATTTATCTTTTTCCTATTTACTGGTTATGCCGTCATAGAAAATTATAAATAGACCCTCATTTTTCATGGAAGTGGATTGAAGCAAGGAAGAGAGCTCACTTGCCACCAGACTCCTCGACCACCGCCAGACTTCCACCCGGCAGCGGACCGACGCCTGACTTCTGCTTTACCGCCGACTCACGTCGGATTTTTGTCCGACTGCTAACTAACGCTTGACTTCCGCCAGATCGTTAATTGAATTCGGATTTCCACCTGACCACTAAATGTTGCCATATTTTCTATCTCCATTCATAATTTCAACCCGACGGTTAATTATTGTAATATGATCATCCTCAATTTCAGAGACAAGTTACCCTCTTGTAATCCAACCAAACAATAGTGGAATCATTTCAATTGGGCGTGACCTTATAGTTTTTTTCCTTTCTAGGGCTTTTCACATAAAAATTCTGGTGTTCTATACTTTTTCTATTTGTGTGCTGGATGTCCGTGTAACACTGAGACGAAAATTTTTAACTTTATCACTGTGTATATCTTGCACGCAATTATATTATATTTATTCACTTATTTATAGAAATATACAAACTCATAGAAGTTTCTAGTATCCAACATAACTTGGGCTAGAGGTTATGGGATGCGAAGGCCCAATGTAGTTGCTCAACGGTATGACTAATATGCGCATAGAATCATGTATGCGTGTGCTTAGGCGGTTTATTGCGGAAAATACCAAGCTCCAACACACTAGCTCAACCGCACAGTGCCACGTGTACTGATCTCCACGTGCTTACATTTCATTGGATGTATGACGTTTTTAAGGCTTTTTAATTGCTTTAGACTTATAAATAGTTTATTACTAGAATAAATTGACTTGATTTTCTTGTAACCAAGGAAGAAAGCTGCTATATTTTCTTCCCGCATTTGCGTTTTTCCGACCACTTCTTCGTCTCCCGCACTGGGGAACAATTGAGAAAACCATTAAAACCTTACTGCAAACCCACTGGAAACTTCACTAAGAGCTCGCGCTTGACACCCATGATTAGATTCTTCTTCCATTCTTTGATATACTGCCTCTCAACTGTGTTGTAGCCGCGATTTACAGCGTCCTGTCGGGCCATAGACTGTTAGGCCTCCGTTCGAAGATGAGATCCGGAGTGGCGGCCTTCCTTATTCTCCCCATATTCTTAGTTATTTTTTTGTCTGCGACGCCAGTAGAACCTGCGGTGGCGAGCATAGATCTAGGTTCCGAATGGATGAAAGTGGCAGTGGTCAACTTGAAGCCTGGCCAGATTCCTATCTCCATCGTCATCAACGAGATGTCGAAGCGCAAATCCCCAGCGCTCGTTGCCTTCAATGCCGGTAATCGCCTCGTCGGCGAGGAAGCTGCGGGGATCACCGCACGTTACCCAAGTAAAGTGTACTCTCAGGTTAGGGACATGATTGGGAAACCCTACCAGTACGTGAAAGACATGATCGATTCGCTGTACCTGCCTTTCGATCTAGTGGAGGATTCTAGAGGAGCGGCAGGATTCAAAACGGATGATGGGGTTGTGTACTCGGCGGAAGAGTTGCTGGCGATGATCCTCCGATACGGAATGAGCTTGGCGGAATCACACCCGAGGTCGCCGATCAGGGATGCGGTGATCGCCATTCCGCCTTATTTTGGACAGACAGAGCGGAGGGGGGTTCTTCAGGCAGCTCAGCTGGCTGGAATCAATGTGCTGTCTCTCATTCATGAGCATTCTGGAGCTGCTTTGCAGTATGGCATTGACAAGGATTTTTCAAACGAGTCCCGGCATGTAATATTCTATGATATGGGCTCCAGAAATACCTATGCTGCTCTAGTTTACTTTTCAGCATACAACGCGAAGGAGTTTGGAAAGGCTGTGTCTGTTAATCAGTTTCAGGTAATTACTCATTAATTTTTTTTTATTTTTCGTTAGATAAATATATTTATTTAAAAGGTTATGCGATTTAAAAAAAATCATTTTTTTGGCTCTCGTCTAGAATTGAATCTATAGCTCAACAAGAAAAGCTAAAAGGTATCTGATACTTGGGTCATCTTGAGCAACATCTTGGCTTAAAAAATGTATTTGCAAGGATAGCATCTCTTTAGGTTTTTAAGTGGTTCTGCTTACCAAGGTTTTTCTTATATGTATGATGGTTATTTGTGGGTTGTGATGGTGGGTAGCATCTCCAGATACCTGTGTAGCGTTGGACAACAGTTTGGGAGGGCTTATAACTTAAAAAGATGGCACGACCTGTGGAGAATATTTGGAGGAAAATAGGACATTTTATACAACCATGCGAACAAGAATAATAAATAGGTTAAACGGGAAGGATAAATGGATGAGAAGATTGATTGTAACATGCAGGAAATATCTCAACCATTTTAGGTGTGTTAAAGAAGCTTGATATTCATGAACGTCATTAATTTAATGCTAACCAGATTAATGAAACAATTACAAAAACTTTGAGCTTGATTCAAATTTAGATGTTGGGAATTTTTGACATCTTGCTTAGGCATTCTATCAAACGATTATCATGCATGAAACACTTATAATACCCTGAGAGAGAAAGAATAAAGATTAATGATTTAGGTGAATATAAGATAATTGCACCTATTCGTGTGGACTTCATTCTATCCTTAGAACCTCTTTGATGCTAACCAAATTAATGGAGCAATTACAAAAATTTGAATACGATTCAAATTTACTTCTTGTGAATTGTGCTTGCTTAGGTATTTCCCCAAACTCCTATCATGAAAGAAACTCTTGGGAAGCATTTCTATTTCTATATCAATTGTCAAACAAAAGATATTGGGTTCATAAGGAGTGCATTTAATCACACCGAAAGGAGAAATTTTATACAAAGTAGAATGTCATGGATTTTTATTAAAATAGAAAAATAAGAAATTCAACCATACTCATTATACTTTGTAATAAATTATGACAAATGCTGTGTAAAATTGTAACCTTCATTATATCAAAAGACTTACAAATAAATTTGACAAGTCATATTTCTCATAATGCGATTTGCGTAATTAATATTTAGCATATGTTTATGATATTCCAAGGGATATTGAAGGCTTGTCCAAAAGATCTCTTAGAAGTGTTTGTGTCACACCTTATTTTGAACCTTTTTAATCAATTTGGAGTGTAATAAAGAATGAGAATCTAAACAAACATATCTCTTATTAATACCCATCCTGAAATATTTCTATTAGGATCAAGTGAGTCGGAAGTAGCCTATCCGGTCTATCCCCACATCTATTATTGACATCAATAATTCATAACTTGAAGCATATTTAAAATACATCAAATAAAATACATGGCTTACTAAAATTTCAAATAATATTTACATATCCAAAAGTTTGTCTACACAGCTTCTACTTTAAACTCTAAGTACACCCAAAACGTATGTCACAAAAAGTGCAATTAACCTTCCAGTATAGTGTCCCATTGGCTCCTTCCTCTTTTCTGTAGTACAATAATATCTAATGAGATAGAGCTTAATGAAATACACAAACAACATATAAGAAAAAAGAAAAATGTTTGCAATCAATTGAAAATATAAAGGAATTTCTATTATAATCATAAGATGTGTAAGACATCAATATATATCTAACTTTTCACATTTCTTGTTATGTTTACTGCTTAATACATTAGGCAAGTTATATGATGATTATAAAATTTTGCACACTTATAGCTCTTAAATTTAAGATTGAGTTCATATTCCTAACTTTTAAAATTGAGCGCTACTCTCTTATTCAAGATTGTATACGAATTCTCAACTTTTAAAAGTGAGAGAGTGTAGGGTACCTTATGTACGACTTCTTTAAGGCTTTTCTCGTTAGGTCTTTTGCCTTTACTTGTGCGGGCCTATCCCCTCTTATATGACTTATTTCATTAGCCTTTTTCATTTATCCTTTTAATATGTTTCATATTTTAATAACAATCATCAAAATTGTTATTGAAATAAATACTTGATGAATCAGCTATAAAATACATAATGAAATTAAAAATAATGACTATCACAATCACATAAAAATGCAGTTGTAATTATATAAAGTGTTATTATTTTCTATACCAATGTATGAACATCTCACCATGGTTTAAAATTGCGCAATATGAGGCTCGCCTTGAGGCCCGCCTTTGCGCAATTCCAGTAAAAAACGCCTCGATGCTTACGCCTCGAGTTTTTTTATAAGGCTTGCGCTTCAACTTGGTTGAGGCCCGCATTGAGGCCCGCCTCGCCTCACTAGCATGAGGCTTACGCCTCACACGATATATATTAAAATTTAGATAAATCTTGAAGTAAATGCCCGACATTAGACTTTATAGGAGAGGAGGAAGGGGAGAGAGCAGTTCACCATAATGATGATTCAAATGAAGAACCCCTTAGTGATGACAGTGCTGATGGCTTATGAGTTATTATGTGATATGTCATTGCTATTTATTTTTTGAAATCGGAATTATATGTTAATGAAAAGAATATTGGGGTTTCTGAAAGATAGAATTTTGAGTTGAACTATATTTTATGTTGTCTTATTATTGAAATATTTTGATTTCACTTCATATCTTATATTTTTTTATGTTTTATAATATTTACTCATTAGTATATAATAAATTTATAATTTTATGTTTACGCAATCTATTGATTTTGAGGTTTACGCCTCAAAACGCCTTGAGGCTTACGCCTCGCCTCACTAATGAGAAATGCCTCAATACCCGAATACGCAATTTTAAACATTGTATCTCACCTTGTTCTCTAGGGTAATCGAGTGAATTTGCTCTCAGAAATCCTGACCTCTCTTCCACTTATAAACAACCTAAGCATAAACATTTTGTTAGAGAATTTTGTTCTCCTCAAACGGATTGCATACTTTATGATTGAGTACAGCTTAAGAATGATGATATATTATCCTGTACGATAAAAATATCATTTCCTTATGAACTCAATGATAAAATTTATAATTTTAAATAGAGATTCTCCTATTCAATGTTTCCTTATGGACTCAATGATAAAATTTATAATTTTAAATAGAGATTCTCCCATTCAATGTTTGGTTGAATGAGGTTTATTTATTTTTGGGGTACAGACGTTCCATAGGGGCTTGGGTAAGCCTCTATGGTTAATTATATCTCAAGCTTTGATGCTTGAGAAAACTTTTAATTAAACTAGTAGTTTTATTTTTCTTTTTGAAGTCATTTAAATATTGGCTAAAGTTTGATTTTTTATGAATCCGTGAAAGTCTTGTTTAAAGGTTTTTGGCCTTTAGGAGATTCAACGAAGAATTGATCAACTTAGAATCATATTTTGTAATGAGAGCCAAAGAATGTGAAGTAGGAGCACTTGATTTTGAAAAATCTCAGAGGTGCTCGGACTATCCTATATTGAGCTTTATACTTTAGAAATCTAATTTTATTTGAGTTGATCATTTTGATTTGAAGGTCGGGGCTTATATTCCAACAACATATATTAGTAGAACTGCTCGGAAGGTGAAGACTTATATGATGATTGGAATCAACCATTGCCTCAGATCCTAAAATTAAGGCGAGGACTCCCGAGAGATAGTGCCTTGAACTTAAATCTAACGTAATCCAAAAGAGACTTATAAACTACACCTCACATGAGGCGCAGTGAGCCCGCCCCTTAGATTTATTGTCCTGCCTTGAAAGGACTACTAGCTAGATCCTCCTAAATGCTTTTAAAACCATATTTTTCAGACTCAATGCATATAAAGAGCTTATGGTTATTTTTGTTTAGGAAGTAGTGCTTATAATTTGGCTTCGAGGTCAATATGCCTATTTATGTAGGGTATGCATATGCTGACTCACTAAGAAAGATTTTTTTTTGTTATTTATTTCTTAAGTGAGGCTTATTTTACATGAGACATTTTTTTTGGCTATACATGCTCAATTTAAATTTTGAAAAATTTGGCTCCTTGAAAAGGAGCCTTGCAATTTTCTTTTTTTAAAAAATCATGAAGCCTAAATTGATTTTTGAGCTATTTACATTTTAAAATGGTAGAAATCTTATTTTGTCCTAAGAGTCTATCATATCAAAAAGTCCAGACCACCCCCAAGTAAAAAAAGAAAGATATTTAGGAAAAATCATGCTTTTCTATTGCACACTCAGTAAACAATCAATACATGTGAGAAAATGTAAATCAACTGTAAATCAACTAAAGCGAAAATATAACTAATGTCCAAATTAGTACAATTAAGTTTGGCAGTTGAGTTGCCTGCCATTATACAATCCAGTCAAATTTTATTTACAAACTCTTGCTTGTGAGGTCTTCAAGCTTTAGCTTCCTATAAACCTTAAGCCTCAACTTCCATAGATATATACTTCTGATTCACCTTTTTCTTTCAATCTAAATACAACAAATTTGATTGCATCCTAATTCTATCAAATACATATTTAAAAAGGAAAGACTCAAGCCTGTAAAATTGAGTTAGAAGGCAGTTCATATAATATATCATACACAAAATTTGCTTACACTTGAAGTGCTAAGCAACTGCTTCTACCCTATTGGCCACATCACTTGGGGGGTTTTAAGTGGCAATTGTCATGCAAGCATTTTTATTATTTATGAGCGCCCATCTTTGGACATGGCCACCTGCAAGAAAAGCATATATATTTTTACACTAACCATTTAAAGGCAAGTGCCCACAACGCAGACAATCCACTAGGCAATCACACCAAATCATCAACCACATACGCACAAAAAGAAAAATCTTAGTTCTAGTATGCCTAGGGGGCTGTGCACCTAAGTGTGTGAGGCTTGTGTGGTATGTCACGCAAAAGGTGTTTCATTTAGAGTTTGGATCTAAGGAAAGGGAGTCAAACATATAGCTTTTGGGCTAAATATTGGAGGATTCTCCCTAGCTTTTGGAGTCAG